GGTGAGGCTGAGGGATGCCAACCCCTGCTTCTACCCCTTCCTTTTTTTTTTTGGGGCTGGGGGTTGCACATTCCTTTGAGACGCGGCCCAGGGGTCCAGCCCCATCCTCAGCGGCTGCAGCAGGCTCACGCCCGCCCTCTTTCTGTCCTCCCCTTCCTCGGGGTCTCCCACCCAGGGAGAAACGCGACTCTGCCTGCGCACAGCAGCTCTGCCGGGGACGGCTGGGGTTGCAATGCCACCTGCCGATAACCCGCCACCACGCTTGCAGCGCGCCGCAACAGATAGATCTCATTCTCCCCACCGCTGCTTTTAGGATGAGGGCGACTTTGTTTCGCCCTGGATAATCCCGCAGACGCACAAGGCAGAAACCCACGGCGCAGGGGGCTCCCCGCCAGCACAGCCCGCCCCCGCGCCGGGCACGGCGGGACACCCCACCTATGGTTTTAATGACGGCCTCCTGGAACATCCTCTCCTCGTGCTCCTTGATGATCTTGGTGCTGACGCCGGCAACGCAGTCGTAGCTCCCCGTCAGCGCGTAGTCAATGCTGAGCCGCAGCTGCCTCAGCAGGGTGTTAAACACCTCCAGCACCGTGGGGCCTGGGGTGGCGAGACGGGAGAGACGGCGGAGCATCGCCGGAGGAGAGCGGCAGTTTTCCCCGTGGAGATGGAGGCCGTAGATTCCCCCAGGTCAGTGTGGTTTATACCTCCCACCACCCCGTGAACAGGTTGAAAAAAAACAGTCTGGCCAGACACACAGCGACTTTTAACCCCCACCAACTCCCCCAGTCGAGACAGGAGAGAATGCCCTTCCAGAAGCACCGTCAGCTCAGCGTATTCACAGCAAGCCCCTGAAAATCCCTTTCCCCCCTGCCACGAAGGCAAAGGCGTGCGTTGCGTTCAGCCCTCTAGGTGCAGGTCGCTGCACGTGGGCATAGCTGTTGAGCTCGGGAGCACTGAAATGGCGCAGAACGGAACCCCAGCACCCCTGGATGCTCCAGACCGGATCCCCCATCGCCAGCTCACACACCTGGGCACACGCCAGAGCCCAGCCCAAACCTCCAGCACCTCTCCCACCGCAACAAAAGGGCGAAGAGACGGATGGAGAGGATAAATTTATCCACTTACCAACAGATCCGGAGGCTGCGATCACCGCTGCCTCCGAGAGGACCTCCACGATGCCCGCGCGCACGGTGGCCGCGCTCTTGCTGTTGGCATCCAGGTGCCCCAGGAGCTGCTGGATCACGAGATGGGAGTGCTGCGGCTGGAAAGAGAGCATGAACATCAGCATGGGTGCTGCACGCATGAGGTGACAGCCTGTTTCTGTAACCCACACGGCTACCGAGGACGACTCCTGCACACGCACCCAGCTTGCACCGAGTCCCTGCCCGGCTCTTTCCAAGAGAGATCTGGATGCAAAATGAGAGGGGGCACCTGGAGGAAGCCTGTTTTACACGACCGAGCAAGAGCTTGGAGCAATTTGCACGGGAAAAACGACCTAAAGAGCTGTACAGATCTAAGGAAATGGTGACAATTAAGCCTGGGGATTCCAGGGAGAAGGGATTTGATTTTTGCCAGGGTTGCCCAAACACATCTATACTTCAAAAGGGTCCTGCTGAGTTATTGTGACCTTACACTTCCAACATGCATTAACAGGATTTTATAAAGTCTAGTAGCGCTGTAAAGGGTTTTT